AGGGGACGGGGGAGGGGGGGTCAGCTCTGTCTGAACCTAAGATTTAAGGAGTCGAACCAACAACGTTCGTCTAGTCACGATAAAAATGAAAATATTTTACAGGACGACTTGAGTCACTGCTGTGTTGACTCTGTCGCCCTCTGCAGGACGGACGCATCGAGTTCTCGGAGTTCATCCAGGCCTTGTCGGTGACTTCTCGAGGAACTCTGGACGAGAAGCTGAGATGTGAGTCCCTTTTCGTTTACCTCCGAAAACACAGTCTGAACCCTGCAGTACCGCTCTCCTCCACCAGGGGTCACTGTTAGAACAGAATACTCTAACGGTCTCCGTCTTGGCCTCCGCAGGGGCCTTCAAGCTGTACGACCTGGACAACGACGGCTACATCACGCGCGACGAGATGCTGAACATCGTGGACGCCATTTATCAGATGGTGGTGAGTTGGTTTTTTTTCCGCGGAGGTTAAAGGTCGCCGTTGGTGACGGCGCTGACGCTGAGTTTTTGTTTGATGATGTCAGGGGAACACGGTGGAGCTGCCCGAGGAGGAGAACACCCCCGAAAAACGCGTCGACCGAATCTTTGCCATGATGGACAAGGTGAGGAACCCGACAATCGGTACCAGCTAGCACCTGGGTCTCAGCCAATCAGAGCGTTAGGGGCGGGGCTTAGACGGCTACAGCTCCGTGAACACGTGGGACATTTTCATTACAGTGATGAGAAGTTAAATGACCTCTTTACTGTAGTACTCTGTAGTACTCTGTAGTAATATTACTTCATATATTGGTACTTTTAAAGAAAGGTGTCAAATATTACACACTTCAAAATGTTTAAAAATAAATATATACGCAGTACAACTCAGAAGGTAGTACTTTGATATATGCAGTACATATATAGTGAATATATACCAGCAGCTTAACACAGGACTAAGTTGATTTAGTCTGAGACTCTGTCGCCCCCCTGTGGTACCAGTGATTTTCTAATTCATTTTTCTCTGTTTTTTTTTTTTTTTTTCCCAGAATGCTGATGGGAAGCTGACTCTGCAGGAGTTCCAGGAGGGCTCCAAGGCCGACCCCTCCATCGTCCAGGCCCTGTCCCTGTACGACGGCCTGGTGTAGCTGCGTCGGTGAGTCGGGTTTGACTGAGCCGGAACCAGAACCAGAACCTGATGTTTGATCCCAGTCAGGACTCAAACACACGACCCGATGAAGATGACATTTTATAAAAGTTTATTTTTGGTCGTTTTTACTCATGTGTTTGACAGAACCTTCGGTTCTTTCTCAGACGGACCCGACCCGACACCGTCCCCCTCGTACCCACATCCAGCAGCCCAGAAGTCCTGGGTCACGACCCACGGTCTCTGCGGTCAACGTTTCCTCCGAGGTCATGTCAACGTGATTCTACGTCTCCATCAACTTCCTGTTTGTCCTGGACAGCTGACCAACGTTTCCACAGGACTCAGTGGTGGCTCCCCCTGCAGTTAAACCCAGGAAGTGAACGTGTGTCGTGGCCATGTGTTGTTAATGACAACAGCTCAGACAAATGGGGACAGTCTGGGGACAGTCTGGACAGTCTATGACAGTCTGCGGACAGTCTGTTTACAGTCTGGGACAGTCTGTGACAGTCTGGGACAGTCTTTGACAGTCTGGGAATCAGTCTGGGGATAGTCTGAGTCTGACGGTCTGGACAGTCTGCGGACAGTCTATGACAGTCTGGGACAGTCTCTGACAGTCTGTGACAGTCTGGGGACAGTCTGCGGACAGTCTATGACAGTCTGGGGATAGTCTGAGACAGTCTATGACAGTCTGCGGACAGTTTGTTTACAGTCTGGGACAGTCTTGGACAGTCTGTGACAGTCTGGGGACAGTCTTTGACAGTCTGTGGACAGTCTCTGACAGTCTTTGACAGTCTGTGACAGTCTGCGGACAGTCTATGACAGTCTGGGGATAGTCTTGGACAGTCTGTGACAGTCTGGGGACAGTCTGGGAATAGTCTGAGACAGTCTATGACAGTCTTTGACAGTCTGTGGACAGTCTCTGACAGTCTTTGACAGTCTGTGACAGTCTGCGGACAGTCTATGACAGTCTGGGGATAGTCTTGGACAGTCTATGACAGTCTGGGACAGTCTTTGACAGTCTGTGGACAGTCTGGGGCAGTCTGGGGACAGTCTGAGACAGTCTGGGGCAGTCTGGGGACAGTCTGAGACAGTCTCTGACAGTCTTTGACAGTCTGTGACAGTCTGCGGACAGTCTATGACAGTCTGTGGACAGTCTGGGACAGTCTGGGACAGTCTGTGGACAGTCTGACAGTCTGGGGACAGTCCCTGACAGTCTGGGGACAGTCTGGACAGTCTGTGGACAGTCTGGGGACAGTCTTGGACAGTCTGGACAGTCTATGACAGTTTGCGTGGTCAGTCTGGGGACAGTCTGTGGACAGTCTCATCGTTGGTCTACGACCTAAATTCATTTATTTTTTAAACCAGTTTCCTCGTAAACATGAAGGAAGTTTCATTTTTTTTTATGGACTGGTGTCAAATGTGTCCTTTACTGGACTTTTTATTACTGTGGTTGAAAACCGGGCCTTTATTTATTCTCCAGTCTTTATTCATGGACTCTTCAGAACCAGAACCGTCTCCACGGATCACTGGACGGCGTTTGACGTCTTTTTTTTTTTTTCCACTTCCTCTTCAGCAGCAGTGGGACAGTCTGGGGACAGTCTTGGACAGTTTGGAGAGAGTCAGGGGACAGTCTTGGTCAGTCTGGGGACAGTCTGTGGACAGTCTCATCGTTGGTCTACAACCTAAATTCATTTATTTTTTAAACCAGTTTCCTCGTAAACATGAAGGAAGTTTCATTTTTTTTATGGACTGGTGTCAAATGTGTCCTTTACTGTACTTTTTATTACTGTGGTTGAAAACCGGGCCTTTATTTATTCTCCAGTCTTTATTCGTGGACTCTTCAGAACCAGAACCGTCTCCACGGATCACTGGACGGCGTTTGACGTCTTTTTTTTTTTTTCCACTTCCTCTTCAGCAGCAGTGTTACAACAGTGTTACACAGTGTTACACAGTGTTACAACAGTGTTACACAGTGTTACAGAGCACCTGAGTGAACGGACCTGAGAACTGGTACCAGTGACACCAGTGCTGGTGTTCTGATGGTCGGGCCTAGAACCAGTGACTCTCTGCAGCTTCTCTCTCTCTCTCTCTCTCTCTCTCTCTCTCGCTCTCTCGAGGATTTTTTCAGATCTCTGTTTTTTTCTTTCTTTTCCTGCTTCACTGATTTTCCGCCGTATACAAATGACCACATGATAAATGTAATTCCCCTGTTGACCAGCAGAGAGCGCACATTCAAATGCACTGTTCTGTGGCTGTTGTTTCTGAGGTTAAGTTCAAATTAAACAAAAAGGAAAATCAGTCTGAAAAACAACACTTTGATTTGAGTTCAGTTTTCACGTCACACAGGTGTGTCTTCAAAGGCGTCGGGTTTGTCCCGTCCATAGTGAGGCACCGCGCTGCAGGATCTGTTCAAGGACGGAGGACTACGGTCCACCAGGGGGCGACATCAGCAGTACGGTTCCCCTTAAAGGGCCAGTTATAAATGGAAGACTGTATAAATCAGGGGTCCCCAACTGTCTGGGGACAGTCTGGGGAGAGTCTGTGGACAGTCTGTGACAGTCTCTGACAGTCTGGGACAGTCTGCGGACAGTCTGGAACAGTCTGGACAGTCTGCGGACGGTCTATGACAGTCTGGGGATAGTCTGGGACAGTCTGGGGACAGTCTTGGGACAGTCTATGACAGTCTGGGACAGTCTCTGAGAGTCTGGAACAGTCTGGGGACAGTGTGTGTCAGTCTGGGGCAGTCTGCGGACGGTCTATGACAGTCTGGGGATAGTCTGGGACTGTCTGGGGACAGTCTTGGGACAGTCTATGACAGTCTGGGACAGTCTGGGACAGTTTGTGGACAGTCTCTGACAGTCTGGACAGTCTGCGGACGGGCTATGACAGTCTGGGGATAGTCTGTGACAGTCTCTGACAGTCTGGGACAGTCTTGGGACAGTCTGTGGACAGTCTGGACAGTCTGCGGACAGTCTGCGGACAGTCTGCGGACAGTCTGCGGACAGTCTGGAGACAGTCTGTGACAGTCTCTGACAGTCTGGGGACAGTCTGGGACAGTCTCTGAGAGTCTGGAACAGTCTGGGGACAGTCTGTGACAGTCTCTGACAGTCTGGGACAGTCTGTGGACAGTCTGTGACAGTCTCTGACAGTCTGGGATAGTCTGTGACAGTCTCTGACAGTCTGGACAGTCTGCGGACGGGCTATGACAGTCTGGGGATAGTCTGGGACAGTCTGGGGACAGTCTGGACAGTCTGCGGACGGGCTATGACAGTCTGGGGATAGTCTGGGACAGTCTGGGACAGTCTGCGGACGGGCTATGACAGTCTGGGGATAGTCTGGGACAGTCTGGACAGTCTGCGGACGGGCTATGACAGTCTGGGGATAGTCTGGGACAGTCTGGGACAGTCTATGACAGTCTGGGGGGAGTCTGTGACAGTCTGTGGACAGTCTGTGGACAGTCTGTCCCCTGGTCCGTGGACCAGTACCAGTCCATAAATCTTTACTAATGTATTTATGATTTAAGTCGTATCATTTACTTTTCTTTATTTAAAGAATATTTGAAAATAAAAACGTAACTCAGACTCTGGTCCAAACAGGACAGAGTCTTCGGTACCAGTACCTTGGTACCAGTCCTTGGACCAGAAAAGGTCGGGGACCGCTGGTACGGATGTAACTAGTCCAGACTGGTACATGTTTCAAGCTACAACTGTTGTTCATTGTTGTGAAAATAAAAAAAAAAAAAAAAAACGTTAAATTTCTCAGGTTACGAAACTCGGCTGCATGGACCTTATTCAACCACTGGGCGGGCCGCGTCTGGGCCCCGGGCCTTCACTTTGACACAGGTGTCTGTACACCACTTTTCATTTTCCAGGTCTTTCTACATGATGATGTCACCAGCACAGCAGTCGGTCTACAGACTGTCTTCTTCTGAGGTTCTGGCCATATAAAAAATGTTCGTCCAATCACCGTGCAGCAGACCAAGCTCTAGCCCCGCCCACTGCTGCACGGACTCCCTGTGACGCCTGACTCAGACTGCAGTGACGTCTCCTCACCACATCCGTCCAGTCAGCGCTGTGACAACATCTGTCCCAGCTGATGGACAATAGAACTTTGTCCCC